AGGATACAGAGGCAGTACTTATATTATACTATCTACTAGCCTCAGTAAGCATACTTCTAGAATTAGCACTTATATCATAAGCAAGCACCTATTGCAACAGCGTCTTAGTACGTACAGCTCGAGGGATCGAGCTAAAAGTGCGGAAGCCGAGGCAAGCACAGCTTTGCTCAGGCCCACAAGCTTGTACTTTCCCGAAACAGTTAAACCCAGATTCGCCTTTCTTATCCAGATCAAGGGTATATGAACCCTAGTGAAGGCTCAGTCAGCGTCAACGCTGACAAATGGTGGCACCAGTGCCAGCACCAGCACTACTTCACTTCTTGTTGGGATTGAGGTGATTTGAACCATGTGCTGACTTTAATCAGCGTCAATTCTGAGTTACAATACAAACTGAGATAGTATTAGTGAACATGTTACTCAGATGTACCCTAACAGTAACATTATAAATAGCAGTAATGGCTGTTTAGCAGAACGAGGCCTGGCTTCTTAGAATCAGGTTGGACGCCTACTTTAGGTGAGTGAGAGTAAACAGTGCAGTAGTATCGGCGCAAAGTCTACTGTAACTATTTACTAAGTTTAGACGGTATTTACGGCTGCGGCCACGCTTCCTCCCTGCGTGGTGAACTCGACTCGTCTTGTCACCATTTAAAGGCAGTGGAGAGGGTTTAGAGTGAAGTAGTCAGCGGCGCATCTACTATCACTATAATTGGCCCCTGTCACTGTCCCTGCTCTCGGGCAAATGGTGGACTTTACCGATTACGCTGGTCGAACTCACACACACAGTTTAACCACGTATGGTGGATATCCAATTTGTACAAATTTGACTTTTACGAGGAAAGGCGGGGACATTAAAATGCAAATTAATGAGCTGCGGGTAAAGAGAAATGCGGGGAGGCGGCTAATGTCTTCTGGTTTTGCGTTCTGAGCCCATTAATTCCTGATGAGGTTGTTTATAAAATAAAACTTGACCAAAGTGCTAACCTGTTTGGGGTTGGTTAGCCGAGTTGGCAGTAATAATCCGAGAGCTTTTACCAGATCTCAGTGAGGACCTGCGCAACACAAGAAAAATGGCGACCGCAAAGGTAACAGCCACCACAGAGGTCACACTAACGCCAATAGCGAACGCGTAGGGTATTTCATCTGTAAAAGAAGCATATTCTTGATAAAAAAATCTTAAAATTAGTAAAATAGATACTCCAAAGATATAAAACAATTTTTATCTCTTTTGAAAAGATCCACTTCAGAGGCGAATATCGACGATGTAAAAATAAATTTGAATTCCATAAAGTAGACAAAAAGAAGGAATTTTGATCTCTCAACCACGTTTTTTCGTCGTCGATCGCCTTAGTTCCGAAAAAGCCTGTTTTTATATCTTAACCCTTAAAGGGTGACAATATTGCATATACAATTAAGCAACGGCTATGTTGCACCATGGAGAGAAGGTACAATGCAGCTGAACTAGTGTTTTCTACTTTCACTAAAAGTCTTCTAGTTAAACGGAGAAAGGGTGTCTTGCCTGTGCACGCCGCCCCAAACTATGAATATGAAGTCACGTGCACATGCGGATGCAAGTACCTTGGCCGCACGCAAAGGCACTCGGCGATCAACACCGCTGAAGATTTACCGAACTGGCTTGTTAGACAAGAAACAAAGTGCCACGGTCGTCCATTGCAAAAGACCTGCAAGACTGCGGTCACTCTGTTGACCTCAAAACATCTTTCCGGGTTCTTGTTTGAGCACGAACAAACCGGACCTTGCGCTCCATGGAAGCAGCCTATATATATATGGTGCACCATTGTTCAACTGGACAACTGCAAACCACAGTATTCAGAAAAGCCAACAGTACCAAACAAATACTCCCTTCAACAGCAATCACCCTCTGTCTCACAAACGCAGCTGCGTTTGTACTCTATTCCAATGAGTTTAAGCACACTGTAATACACAAGTTGACAAAACAGTGGAACAGCAATACCTATATGACCTCTTTCGAGCTAATGGATACCCGAATACTTTTATCAACCAAAGCATGCGCCAAATTAACAGATGACGGGCAGCAAAACAGCAACCCAAAGTCTGGAAGGCCATTTCTTGCATAAAAGGAGTCTTCGAAGCAGTCTCTCGACTGTTACAACCCACTGGAGTAGGCACAGCCTATCGACCTTAGGTGACAATGCGCGGCTGAGTGATGCAACCTATAGGCACACTGCCCCTTTACTGAAACCTATGCAGTTGTCTAAAAAATACGTTGCAACGATAGAGACTGGAATAACGTTGGAGAACCAGAGCGCAAATTGCAGACCCGCCTATAGGAGCACAAAGCGGCAGCTTGGAGACAAGACCCTTACTTACAGCTTGCAACACGTATCAGAGGGACTGGCTTATATTAAGTCAACCTCTTTGTTACTCTTCATCAATTCTTTTCCTCCCCAATCTTAAAGGCGACGTTATTATTGAATATTCACCGCGTTAAAAAATGACCCTGCTGTTGTTGATTGCGCGAAACTTCAAACTGCTATTCATGCAAAACCAAGAAGCAGTTGACAAGTCGTCCCGAACTTTATCTGCACAAATAAATTCTGCTGTGTCCGCTTGCGTTAAATTTAAAATTATCAATAGTATATATATATATATATATATATATATTTCACAACTTACCCGCTCGAATAAGATGAATTGTTCGTACGTCCGTGCCAAGGTCAGTGGTGACTGTGCAGTTGTAGACGCCAAAATGTGCCTCTTTGAGATGCACAAATTTGATGAAGCTTGTGGCGCCCGTCAGGGAGTCCTCCTGTTCTATCCGAATGCTAATAAAAACAGAGAACAGAATCTAAGTGTTTGGCCTGTCTCACATGATTTTTCCTTCTAGTGAAAATTCCGTTGAAACAGGAGTCTACCACGGTTGTTGTCCTCGTTACAAATAATTATACACTAGGTGGACACGAAACTCTACCTACATGAAGCTAATGCATCTTCTAAAGCTACAGGCACCTGTCAGTAGTCATCTGAGGAGAGACAGGTGGACCACAGTGACCGGAGCTCTGGCGCCACAGTCTGACAGAACCCCACAAGGCACACAGAGAGTTTACCCAGCGAACTGGGAGGGATGTCAATCCGGCGATGGCCCAGTGAACTCACTTCTGCCAAAACTGTAACAGTCCTGCTCCATCGCTAACATCACCACAACGCGTCTGACAACAGTTGGGGCGAAGCATAAATATCGTACTGGGCTGTTGGACACCTGTATTTGCGATTGCTACAAAAGCCCAGTCGTTGGAACAAGCCACTACGAGCACATATCAGCCGGCATCCACCCTTGAAGGTTGTTCTTATTGTTGTTAACATTAAGTTGTTCGCAAAGCTAGTGCGGAACTATTGATATTGTAAAATGATGTATTTTTATTTAGACAAATACATTTCAGATAATGTTACTGTACCTGGTTGTTACGGGAACGCGAGCGGTGACGCATTCAGAGCCTAGAAATGTTAGTCCCAATACGATCTGAGGCACCAAAGCCGAAAATTCACTAATAAAATTTACTTTATATCTCAAACAACATCTTCTTTTTCTTCTCCGCCGACCGCCGTTCGCCAAG